TTGAAAGAGAAGCTAGGAGTCATGAAGAACTAAGAAAGTACAAAATATATCCAATAAGAGTTCCACAAAGACAAGAGACAATGAAAAATCCCCCCAGATTATGAAGACATCAACCTACACATTTAAAATTCCAATGAAAACTAAGTGGGATAAATTTTTAAAAATACACTTAGACAAGTTAGTATAAAATTGTTGAGTATCTGCAATAAAAAGATCTTTAAAACAGCCACCTTTCAATGACACTTCCCACAAATGAGAATTTCAACCACAAGAGTGGAAGACAGAATTCAAAAGACACTAAAATGGTATCTTCTGGGAGGTAAAAAGAAAATAACTGCCAACCCTGAACTTAACACAATGAAAATATTTCTCAAAGGCAGAAAAATAAAATTGAGAACAGATTCAAAATCAAAAACAGTTTGGTGATCACATAGTCTTTGTGAATAAAAGTTTAAGGTATTCCAGTCAGGGACAGGGACTTAGATCAGTAGTACCGTGCAAGCTCAATGTCCTGAGTTCAATTGCCAGGATAGATAGATAGATAGATAGATAGATAGATAGATAGATAGAGATAGATAGATAGATAGATAGATAGATAGATAGATAGTATTCCAATAAATTGTGACTAATTCCACATGAAAATTTCAAGATTTTTAAAAATGAAGAAAAAAATGTGAAATCAACAAAGCTAATTCAACTCTCACTAAATGAAGCATTAATGATACTCTTTATCATTTAAAAGAAATGGAACTGGGCCTGGGATTTAGCTCAGTGGTGACAGTGCCTGCCTCGCTAGTGCAAGGTTCTGTGTTCCATCCCAGGCACCAAAATATAAAAAAATAAAGAAATGGAATTAATAGGAAAAATTTTTCCTTTGAAATAGAGGAGAAGTAATTAGAATTAAAGTACCTTGTTCTATGCCAAAAATAACAACAAACCTTCAGGGATTACCACTCATAATGCCCACTCAAAAACTGGCAGCATATCTGTAAAGACACTGACCCATGAGTTTAGAGCTACTGATTTATGCCAAATGGAGTATTTGACTCTCAGTGTAATGACTGTGTACGCTCGGGGAGCACAACAGAAAGAAAATTTATTTTTTTAAAAAAAGCTTGTTCTCTTGAGCATCTTCTAATGTTTGGGAGATAAGTTTCTGTCAATACTCTTGAAATGGATAGTGATGTTCAAAATTATACACTTCCTCGTAGCAGAGATGACAGAACTGGCCTTGTATATCACAGGAAAACTAAAATGTTACCATATATTTTCTATTATATATCTAACATATTTATAATCTAAGATTATTGTGTGATACATTATAGACTTTCTGACATTTTGTCTTCTTTAATATGCTGATATAATAATGAAAGAAGGTCCAATCTGCTTACATAATAGACTGCATTTGGACGTTATTTTCTAGACACCAGGAGCAAGTAAAGTTTTTGAGCACAGAAGTAATATGATAATAATTATGATTTTTATAAAACTAGTCTAGAAAAGACTAACATTCTGTTTGCAAGAGTACAAACCACCTAGTCATTAAAATAGAAAAGTAAATAGAATGTACCAAATTTATTGAGCATACTTCTCCTTTTCTGCTTTGTTACACTTTCATGATTCACATAACTATACATAGACACATAAATATCAAGATCATCGTTTTTAAGAAATAAAATATTATTGTCAATAGCATCTGTCAATAAATTCTACCTGTTAAATTTTGTTGTTCCCTGATATCCAGTCAGTTTGAGGAAAGATCTTTTACAAAGAAGAGCTTTTTTTTTTTTTTTTACACTGAGTCATATAAGTGGCTTTTCTCTAACATGCATTTTTAAATTTATCTACAGGTAAAAGTCACCCAGCATTCTACAAAAATATGCATATAAGTGAAAAATCACTCACAATGTAATGTGATAGTTTTAAAAAGAGAACATTTCACTATTGTTTAAAATAAAAGGTCATAAAATCAAACATTTTAAAAATAGACATTTTTCCACTATACCTGTAGTTTGACCTCGTGCATTTTTATATAAAGAAGTGTTTCTCAAAAGGAAAACTGTCAAGAAATATAGCCCAGTATTCACAGTTTGATGAATCTGAAACATGTACTTCCAATTGAGAGATACAATTGCAAACAACAGCCTGCACAAATGAAACAGAGAAAAACTGACTGAGGAGGTACAATAGAATTCAGTGTACCTTTGGAAACTAAAGCTGTAATCCAGTTTGTAAGAAAATAAAGAATGGAAGTATTGGCCTAAACTCCACTGAATCACAGAAGCCTAACACAATACAACACAAGTGACATCCTTTTCTCAAAGAGACACAAGGCTCATTGAGCCAGGCGATTCAATTACCCTCTCAACCTGGAAAGAATTCCCCTCCTGTGTTGAGGTCCACTGGCAGAGCAATATGGGACAGCCTACATTGTATACAGTCAGTAAATACCTAAAAAGCTGCAGGCTTCAAAGAACAAGAATCTTTGACCTTTCATGATTGCTACAGTGATTCTTCAACAAAAACATTACTTACAATAGTCTCTTAAAAGCCTGACAAAAGATTACATTTTCATTAAATATCTTCAAATATCTTATATTCATATGGAAATTTGTTTAAATAAATACCTAAGCACAATGCTTCATTAAGTAGTAAAGAATATGAACAGATTAATGAAATGGAAAGAGGGTTTCCTAAAATAGAGATGATTCTGATCTTGCTTAGACATTTTATAATGTCTTTTCAAATAATATCACCAGGGCCGGGGATTTAGCTCAGTGGTTTGGTGGCCTACCTTGCAAGAGCAAGGGCCCGAGTTCAATCCCTGGTACCAAAAAAAAAAAATAAAAAAAGAATCAAATAATATCATCAATCATTCTTTGTCATTTTCCCTATAAATTTGTAAGGACCTTGAATAAGAGGAGTGGCTATTAGTCAGAATCCCACAATAACTACTGAATTTTGGAATAGTTAGGGAAAATTTGGATAGCATGGTCTTCCAAGGTGATATGTCATCCTTCTCATACCTTCTCATGCTTGATGTCAGAACTGACAGGTGTTAGCCAAATCATTTCAGACTTCAAATTTGGATATTTTACTTCACTTCTTTTCTGATGAGATTATTATCGCTTTTTAAATTTCTATATATTGTACATAAATTATTTGCTTTTGCTAGGAAGACAAAAGTCCTTTGATGATGAATGTTTGGGATACTATGTAGTTAATAAGCTCTTAAACAAATTTGTCTAAATTATAAAACAAACACAAGCATTGATGAATAAATCTCAAATATTGGGTATGCTACTCAAATATTTTCACAAGCGAATCCCCAGCTAAATGCCTTGTCTCTAGCCCATTTCTCTTTTTCATGTAATCTAGGATCTACTTTGGTGATGCTGCATTTATTATATTTCTCTAACCTGGGCCCATGTGTGATCACATTCCTGTGTACTAAAAACTCTTCCTTGATTACATGCACTGCAGTAACAGCCACATTCAGTTATAATCATCAGTATTTTAATGTGCCCATTCTTACTCTTGGTTATGAACTTCTTAAACTGATGGCCACAGCAGGAACCCGGTCTCACCTGGTACCCCAGCACTACATTTGGAAAATATAAGGTGTTCAATAAATAACCTCAACAACAAAATAGCAATCACTTGTACAGTATTTACCATATAGAGCGAACAGTGAAATAAATATGCTACATCAATAAAATATTTAAGTAATTCCTACATTAGACATTTTCACATACAAATATTATTCAGCTTGCACCACAATTTTATAAGACAAATGGCAATATTTTCTTCATCAGTGGAAGCAAAGAAATAATTTTCCCTGGGCTCATAGTAAGCACTGTAGTTCATCTAAAAATTCAACCCAGACATCATATCATAATAAATCTTACCAAGCAGATCAATGTCATACACATATACATAAGTAATAAATTAGTTTGAAATCTTAAATCTATATAAATTTGCCTACCACTTTCTTCCTTAAATAATTGACATATTAAGAAATTATCTTTATATATAAAAAGGTAACTGGTACTTGAGGACAAATTGCATGAGTGTTTACAGTGTTTTGAAACATTAATTTTGAACCTTGTAAAAAGAAATAATATCTACAACCTTATGAGATACTTTCTCACTTGTGCTTCTTAATGGTTAAGGCACTTGTCCAAGGATTTCCACTGATGCTTTCACAAGACAATAGCTACTATTAATTATTCAATCAATCAACTATTCTGTTAATGAATGAAATCTGCACTTAGACTTCCACTGATTTAAAAAAAAACCCTAAATATCAAAGCTCTCTTTATTCTACTAATGTCCACAAAAGCCTATTCTTTTCCTTTTCCTTTTCTTTAGTTAAAACTGCACCAGTCTCTAAGAATTATTTCAAATGTTAACAAAATTGACTTTCAATAAAGGTAAGAAGTCATTTCCTTCATTATCTCAGTATGCCAGATTTAACAGCAAAGAATATTATAAAACAATATATTCAGCAAATTTGTGATGTTTTTATCATCAATGATAACTCATATATAAGCATTTTTGTGACATTAAGACGCTCAATGAATGTCTTGTTAAAAAAGAACAAATTTCAACATAAAATAATTTTAAGAAAAATTCAATATTAACTAGATGTGATGGCACATGCCTATAATCCCAGCGCTCAGGAGGCTGAGGCAGGAGGATGCTGTGAGTTCGAGACCAGCCTGGGCTACATAGTGAGTTCCAGGTCAGTCTCAACTACATAGTGAGACCCTGTCTCAAAAAACAAAACAAAACAAAACAATGCAATATGTATTTTTATAAAATATAAATTAAAAGTTTGAAGAGCTTAATTAATAAAATGTGCCAATTTTCAAATGCCTATATATATATATTTTAATGTTTAGTCAAATTTATTATGAAAAGCTTTATACATTAACCAGGGTAATGGTAACCGAGCTCAGGGTACTAATTTTCATTTGCATAGCTATATCTTAATTTACCTTATTTGCAATACTTGTGATGAATGATTTAATATCTAGATTAGTTGGACAGCTCTTCTGGCAGGGGGCATCTGCACATTTCAGGCACCTAGGGTTTAAAATATCTGTGTTAATATTACTACAAGGTAAATGACATAATTTTCTACATATATTTTCATCTTATATTAATTCGGAGTTAATGTCTAGTAAGCATAAATAAAATTAGGCTATTTTAGGTATAAAACTTTAAAAAATAATTACCTATTAACTGTATTTCACCTTTTGCACACTTCCTGAGATGTGTGAAACAGAACCACTCTAGGTAATAACTGTCTAGCCACTCAGTGCTCCTCTTCAATTTAAGAGGATCATACCTAAAACACATCATTCACTCCTTTGCTATAATAATTTTGATTCCTCATTATATCGACAATGCTAAAAGCACACAATACTCTATGATAGTTTGTATGTTTTAGTGACTACAATCATCATACAAATGGAAAGATAAAGTCTCCTGTTTTACTACTTTCAGTGTTCTTTTTTGTTCCCTTCCTCCCTCCTTCTATTTTTCTGTTTATAAATCTATGTTCCATTCATAAAACCCCTGGGTTCTGTAGCAGTTGCTTCACAAAACAGCCCAAACCCATCCTCTTCACAATCAAATTATATGTCCCCACTAACTGCCTTGATTCTACTAAAGAAAAAGGACTCAAGGCCACATGGTCTTTCCAATAGCAGTCTTCACCCAATTTCGAGGCAATGAGAGATTAGTGGACTCTAACCCCACCTGCTCATTTGGGAAACTAGTTTAGTTTGCAGGGATTCATTGAAATCTTTATTGTGACTACTCAATTCTACTTCCTTGCACTTGTACAAATGTTGACATTCAAATGGAGTTCTTACATTTCAATTTTATCATAAAATCTTCTTTCTGAAGAATTAGCCAGAGACACTTCCTATTTTAGTTCACTGAGGAGACATCTTTGATACGATGATTGATGTGTGTCATACAATGCACAAAGGAGGTCTGGTGACTCTCTTACTAGTATGAGAATCTGCACTTTGAGAAAAGGAACCTCTAAGGTAACTCTGGCATGTGTTTAGAACCACATTGTGAGAAGGGCTGAAACTTCTGGTTAGAACAATCTTTATTTGTACATTATGTGTGCATTTGTTCAATTGCTCACTTAATAAATATTTAATGAGTTCCTGTGCTAGGGCTTGAGTGTATCTACCAGGTGTTTGTTGGAGTCCTAGTCCTCAGAATGATGGTGTGGAATCTTTAAAACATAGGTCCTAATGGGAAGTAATTAGGTCACAGAAGACACTGTTCTCACAATGAAATCATGTAGTTCTTGTGGGAACTTGATTGGTTCATGCAAAAAAGTTGTTATAGAAGAGCAAGCTGAGTCCCTCCCCAGTCTCCCCAGACCTTCTGCTTTGTCATTCAATCTCTAGCTCTCACAGGCACTCCTGCTGTGATGCCCTATTAAAGGTCTTTGTCAGAGTATGCGACATGCTACTTGCACTTTCAGGCTCCAAAATTGCGAGCTAATCAAATTTATTTTCTTTACACATTACTTAGCCTCAAGCATTTCACTATGATAACAGAGAACAGACTCATTCATTTTGCTATATGACAGATCCTAGGATATGAGAATATAAAAGTGGCTAACAATACTACCTTGTTCTCTCATGGAGCTTGAAGTCTGGAAAAGTCCAGACACACCTCATTTCAACATTGAAGATAGAATACAGCATGTTATATATTCCTTCTGCATTGCTTTGCAATGTATGCTTTAGGTCATACTTCAATAAATTATATTTTGAATCATGTACAGTGTTTCAAGAAAAAAATCATAAGTATGAATAGATAGGAATTCAACTAAATGATAGATGTGAATATAACAATGGCATTTACAGAAATAATAGGAAAAGGTTTAATAACTACATTTCACAGAGGAATATGGAAAATCAAAAGAATATGGAAATGTGCAATATAAGCAGTGTAGATTTTGGTGAGATGCAGCATTTCCTCAGCAGAGGGAAATAATCCTGGAGGGAGAGTTGGAAAGCTTGTTGAAAAGAGTAATATTTGGACAGAACTTTGATGTATGACTGAATGTTAGGAGAACAAATGATGGTTTGGAGTTAGAGAGTAAGGTCACTTTTTAATAGCATGATTGAAGAGTAGAAAAAATACTGAAAGTTCTTGGAAAGAGAAGAATTGCCAGGATAAGTGAAGTAATGGAATTTAGTCAGACTCACCACGAATGGTTATAGACAGAAATTATTCTAAAGGTATACAAGTTTCACATATGTAATAAAACCAGAATTACTCAGTGACAAAGGTGAATAACAGGCTCATTTTCTATCCACTTCTATGTGTTAAGACCTTCATGCATTTTCTTCAAGGAAATAATACCTGTTTCCATGTCATTATTTTATAAGGGAGTCTGAACCCATTTCTCAGTACCTAATTAATATCTTGTTTTTAAATCTGATCTCTTTTCACTGGTTTGTGCCCTTAGCTGTCTCTCTAAATTAAATTTTACACAATGAGTACCAAAGGCTTTTCATAATCAATTGTCCTCTCTGAAATGTAGTTATTAAACCTCTTCCTTTTATTTCTGTAAATGCCATTGTTATATTCACATCTATCATTTAGTTGAATTCCTATCTATTCATACTTATGATTTTTTTCTTGAAACACTGTACATGATTCAAAATATAATTTATTGAAAGTATGACCTAAAGCATACATTGCAAAGCAATGCAGAAGGAATATATAACATGCTCTTTTCTATACTCAATGTTGAAATGAGGAGATATTTCTACATTTTACCATCATGTGGAACAGTATGTTGAGCATTAGAAGTGGTTTGAAGAATATCCTAATTTACGGTAATACAATACAACTAAAATTTAGCAAATAATGTACTGTCTTAAATATTTTCTCATTATAAGTGAGTCATTTGAAGAGTTTAAAAATATTTGCCATTACACAGGAATAGAGATACACAGAGACAGAGGGAGGGAGAAAGAGAGAAAAAAAGAAAGGGAGAGGAAGAGATCTCATACAGATTCTGGTTATCCCTAATGAAGTCACAAGTTTTCTGCTTTTCTTTTTTTCTAACACCTAATTTGAATAATAAGGTAATTAAAAAATAAACTTATAATGTCAGTAGTTATAAATGAAACAAATTAATATTCAGTGAATTTTTCTGTTCTAACAAAGAAATCTTAAATTCAACACAAACAGATTCACTTAACAGCATTGACAATGTAAGGATTTTTAGTTGTGGTTATTAAGCCTCTTTACCAAATAATTCTCCTTTTATTATTGAGCTAGTTCACAAATAACAGCTGTTGGAAATGTCAGATGTTAATGAGGCAGGGCAACGCAAACCTGAATTGTAGCATTCTTTTTTTCTTTGGTGCTATGAATATGCCAGAATGGGCAGACTCTGATAATAATACCATCTTGCAATTCTCTAAGCGCTCTGCAGACTAAAGTGCATCAGGCTGCCATTAATCCCACTTATCACTCTGACAGCTCAGTAATTACACTACTGCTATAGCCAGGTAGTCCTAATAAAATATCAACCACTGCACTGGAATGCAGACTGGTGAGATGTTTTATTAAACTTGGGGGAGTTTGATCATCAAGTGACATTATTGTTGACCTATTTTTCTATTTGACAATAAATTATCCTTTGACCATGCCATAATAGACATTACAGCATGCATTTCCTGTACCAAATCAGAAAGGTAATGCATTACAATGATGTAGGCAAATGGTGTAAATAAAATAGCAGAAATGCATGTGAGAATGTTATTACCTAAATTGCTTTAAATGATTGATACCACAAAAAAATCACAGACACAGTACTTAGGGGAATATGTCAACAATTATTGTAAACCGCAGTTTTACATACATTTTTCCTTAGAAGTACCACTTAAATTACACTTGTTTTTATCTTCAGTCATTTAATTCCTCTTTCACCTTTCCCAGTTATTCTCTTATATGAATGCAGTTTTCTTTTAAATGCATTGCAAAAGGCAAAAGTTAATTCAGATAAACAGGATAACATTTTAATCTCCCAGTAACTACATTTACACTGAGTATACTAGATCACTGTAAAAGCAATAAAATATCTTAAATTTGTTAACTACTGATAATTGTTTTACATTGCTATATTTAGTAGATAGTATAAAATGTAATTCATTAAATACAAAATGCAGCATTCTCAATAATGTTAACTTTCCATGGTTCTACACAGCCATAAAATATGTGAAAACATTAGCACTGCTATTTAAGAGAATACTCAAATTATATTTATCAAATATCATCAATAGAGAGAGAGAGATGAGTTCTCTACCCATATGTCAGCGAGACAGGACAGTTTTACTCTATAGACTAACACCAAAAATATTGTAGTGATTAATGAAGTTAGTGGCACTTCATTCTTCATGCATCTGAGAATAGATACCTGGTTCTTTTATCTTTTAAGTATCCATAGCAAGTGGAACTGCAACCTATATTTGTTAAATAATGTAATAATTCACAAGCATAAATAACTTAATTCCTCAGAAACATGCAAATACACACAAACACACATGCAAATGTAGCTGAAAACCTTGAAATTCACTTTATATTATCTTGGTTTGCTAGATTTTTGGTTAACTCAACCAGCACTTTTCATAATACTCTGTATAATCTACCTCGATCTATTTATATTGGAACTGGGAAAATTAGTATTTCTTAAAAATTAAACTATTTTCTCAACATTGATATTATATTTCCTCAGATCTTGATGTTTAGTGGCAGCTTTTGGAAGATCTACTTACCCGAGATACAAAAGATCTGTACCCTGTAACACTGGTGTGGGCAAAAACATAGGCTAATATCTTTCACTGAATGTGCAATGTTACTGCTGAAAACTCAGGAACAGGTTGAATGTAAGGGTTGCAAGTCAAGAAATAAAGGTCAGAAGTGTCAGATATGTGTCTCAGTTTCACAGCATTCACATCTTGTACCCAGATTGTGGCATAATTAAAGGACTCAACAGAGATGGCTGGTATCTTTAAAACGTGATAAAACTAATC